ACTTTAAAGAGATGATGATGCTTCTGTTGATGATGATGGTCATGTTCTTACAGTATGTTGCTGGTACAGCCTATAATAATAATTCTGATGATGAGTTTGATGCTGGTGTTAGTGAAGATGATGGAGGCGGTGGAGTGATGGTGATGGTGAGGCTTTGGATGACGGTGGCAATGATGGTTTTGATACTGCAAACAATGGTAATGGTAGTGATGAGGATGATGGTGTTGCTATAGATGTTGGTGGTGATAGATAGTGATAGATGATGGTAGTGATGGGGATAATGATGGAGTTGTTGCAGATGATGGTGCTACAGATGGTGATGCTGTAGATGGTGATACTGCAGCTGACGAAGATGATGGTGGTGATTGTGGTGCTGACTTGATATGAATGAATATTGATAGTTTTTTTGTCAGATTGTTCTCATGCCCCAGAACTAGACTCAGACTCTTATTTTCTTTCAGTTTATGAGTCCAATACTACGTCCCAGAGAAACTTGAACTCTGAAGACAAAAGAAAGAAGCTCCTGAGGAATCTTAAAAAGGCATATGGTTTAGAGGTCTGTGCATGTCATTCCCTTTTGTATTACTTCTTATAAGTAAAGAAAAAAACTTTAAATTTTATGAATACCCTGAAACAACCTCTGGGTTGATCTAAGTCAGGGCATGGATAACTCACAGATAGAACCCTGAAACAACCTCTGAGCTGATCTAAGTCAGGGCATGGATAACTTACAGATTGAACCCTGAAACAACCTCTGGGTTGATCTAAGTCAGGGCATGGATAACTTACAGATCGGACCCTGGAACAACCTCTGGGCTGATCTAAGTCAGGGCATGGATAACTCACATATCAAATTGAAATTTAGCATTTGAAAATGGGAGGTGAGGAGGGAGAAAAACCTTTGAATCAAGGGATAGAGGTTCAGGGATAGACCCAACCTTAGACCCCAGAGCTGGGGGCGAATGCACTTCCGCTACCATTACATCATATTTTGATTTTCCTTCAATGAGGTTTGACCCCACAATATTTTTTTCAGAAAGAAGCCTATGAAGAAGATATAGATATTCCGAATAAACGAAAATACAGAGATCGAGCAGATTTGAGGTGAAGAATTATACAGTCATTGTAGACTTTAAAAAAATTAAAGTTATTGAATTGAAAATAACATATTGAATTTTGGGGAGGAATGAAATCTGAAGAACCCAGAGATGTCCCCTTCAATTGAGGGAGACACCCAATAAACTTTACTCATATATAAATCTGAGTCCAGGAATTGAACCTTAGACCTCAGAGGTGAGAGGTGTGTCCAACCAGTAGTACAACAGCATCCTTGATTCCCTGTTTGCTGAAATGGAGAAACATTGTTCTAATCATATCGTTTTTCTATTCAGACGAATCAAGGTTGGAAGTGACGTTCCAGTTGAATTACCTGATGCCCCTCCTGCATCCGTCCACAGGTTAGTCTAACAGTTTCTAAGGTCGTGTTTATCCAGGGGGGAGGTTAGCTTGGTGAGGTAACCCTCCTTCTCACACAAATGAATCGTACTACTCTCTATTTGACCAAATCTCTTTCTTGGAACTATAAAAAGATGAATGGAGTCAAATGAATAAATGCAAATGAGTATCAAAGGGAAATAGTTTCCAAATGTTTTTATTCTTATTTCAGGCCTATTAGCTCAGAGAACAAGGGTCGAAAAATGCTGGAAAAAATGGGTTGGAAGGCTGGCGAAGGCCTTGGCAAAGAAGGCTCTGGGCTCAAAGAACCGGTTAGTATGGGAAATAGGAGTATGGTCCAGTTTTTATTCCATCCATCCATCCTTCCCTCCATCTATCCCACCACCCCTCCCTCCCTCCCTCCCTCCCTCC